CTACAGACGAGACACGGAGTGTCCCCCCGGGCGGGGGCCTGGGCAGCGCAAATCCCGCTACTCCGGGGCCAAGGTTGGCTTCCACGGTGCTCGGACACAAAGGAGAACTGAGAAGAGCCATCCCTGTCAGCAGCCTGCGGGAAGCAGCGCTGTGCTGCAGGAGGCAGCTCCAGCAGGACAGCCAGGCTGTCCCCAGGAAGGCTGGGAGCCCCCTCACATCCCTTCAGCTTCTCCACACAGGTTGGACTTCAGTGGAGATGCTAACAGACAATCGGGAGCAGCTGGCACAGCCCCTGCCTCGCTGCCCCCCAGGCACAGCTTCCAGAGTCGGCATCACCGAAGGAAAAGAAAGTGTCCCCTGGAGCCTGACCCTGCTCTCCTGCCCAAGGACTCAGCCTTGCCCAAAGCCTGCGAGGCTCACCTTCCTCACAGCCATCCCACTGCCTCCCACTGCTCCCCCGAGGTCCAGCCCCTGATCCCAAGCGCTCCCCTGGCCAGCAGCTCAGGCTCCCGGCCCCTCTGGAAGTGTTTAGTGCCACAGTCCAGCTCGGAGCTGAGGAAGCAGGAGGTGGGGGTGTCAGGCCGGGAGGGAAACCGCTCGGTTCCTGCCGATCTCTCAGGTTCAGGCACCCCCAGGCACAGTCTGAGTCTCCACCTTCACTGCCCGTCCCAGGGTGGTCAGGGTAAGTCTGGACTTCTCTCCTTGCAGTCAGCTGGTGAATGAGGGAGGTTTGCTGAAGGTGCTGCCAGCACACCTGGGACATTCCCCATGGGCTTTCCTACAGGAGCACTGAGAACAGAGGCATTTCAGAGCTCACCTGTGTGGAGATGATGCCCTGACTGATTAGCAAGTGTGTTATGAGTGCACCAAACCCTCTAGTCCCAGCCTAAAATACCCTAAATGAGAAATAAGGTGGCCAATTTTAGCTAAACATCTCTAGCAGCTGCAGTATCTCCCAGAGGAAGTTGGGGCTGTTCAGCCTGGAGAGGAGAAGGTTGTGTGGAGACCTCAGAGCAACCTGCCAGGAGCTGAAGGGACTCCAGGGAAGCTGCAGAGGGACTCTGGGTTAGGAACTGCAGGGACAGGACAAGGGGCAATGGGGAGTAATTGAAAGGGAGAAATTTAGGTGAGATATATGGAAGAAACTCTTCCCTGTGAGGTTGGTGAGACACTGGCACAGGTTGCCCAGAGAGGCTGTGGCTGCCCCAACCCTGGCAGTGTTCACAGCCAGGCTGGCTAAAGCCTTGAGCAACCTATTCTGGTGGGAGGTGTCCCTGCCCAGGGCAGGGGGTTGTGACTGGATCATCTCTAAGCTTCATTCCAACCCCTAAAATTCCATGATTCTGTAATTCTTTTTCACATGTTCTCCGAGTCCTTACACCAGCCTAGATGTCTTACTGACAGAGTTGTTATCATTAAGGCTTATTGGGCTCCAGTTCTAGCCAAGCCCAACTGACTGGAATCAGTGAGGAAGGAAGTGTGTGTGGCTGGTGGTAGCAGAACAGCCTCAATGAGTTGATGGATTTGCACATCCCTCGTTTCTCACCTACCTCTGCTGTGTGGGAGTTGCTTTTTAGTGTCTTTTGGAAATGAGACGTAATTAAAGCTTGGCCCTTTGCCTAACTGGTGCACATCTCTCCCTGAGAGAGGGAAAATGCCTTTGAGACGAGGCTCTTTGAAAGAACCTGAGTTTAGCTCCCAGGTCTTGCTCTCTCAGCTCCTCTGAAGGCAGCAACCTGCGAGTCAGCACGGGCAGGTGCTGGCTGTGAGCAGCGCCTGGCTCCCTTCCTCGCC